GCCAAGCAGGATTGTTGAAGCTGTCGGCAAAATTTGAAAATTTTCAAAACACCAATGCCGCAGACCAGCAGATGAGAAATGGAATAGCCTCTGCTCAACCCCTTCCGGCTTCCAACGTTTCCAGCTGCGACATCAGAACCTCAGAACGAACCATTCTTTCAGCACCTTCTCCCATATTACCGCTTGCCGTTGTGGCCAGTAATCGCTTCCCGTGTGGAGCTAAACGAGAAGAGCCCCACATTCTTGCTTTAGCTTTAGACAAGAAACTGCGTTATATCGAAGTGTCACAGAGCACACAGTTCTTCGTACAGTAACAGAGTGCCCTTCAACCTGTTTCTCTTCTGTCCAAACAAAGCGCCCGTGCTAAGGCCCCCCAATATGGAAAAGCCGTCGTCATGCAGGAAAAGGGTTTCCCAACTGGGCTGCAGATCGCCAGTTCGTGAAGCCCCGACTTCAAGAAATATCCCCAACACACAGGAAACCAAGTGATCTCGCGTTTTCCCCTCGATTCCCCTTACCCGTATCCAAGACAAGTCCCCAACAACCTCATCCATCAATGCTACAGGGCAATAGAAGGCAAGATTCCCTACCCAATTTATATCATTGAGACCTGATATTTGACAAGTGTACAATGCGACTGCAATGTCCCTTTCAGAAGCTGCAAACTCAGCAGGATGCTGCCGCAAGCTTGCAGCACTGGCTCCATTACCTCCACAACTGCCTCCCGTAGCCATCGCTCTTCTCCCCTCCAGGAAACCTGGTTCTACTTGTGGTGGGGATGCTGGCGCAAGCTCCCTGGAACATGTGCCTGCTGAATTAATTATTTAGGACAGATTGGGGGTCGACAAGGTCAGGAAAATCGCGCACAATTTCGTCGCCAGTTATCCTGTTATCACTGTGTGGCTCCAGCAGACGCAAAATAAGGGCTCTCCACCTCGATGGGACATTTGATCGTTCCAACTGCGGTATTAGAAAGTCAGACCGTATCCCGCTGTCCAATAACCCCCTTGCGGCTTTCCCCGTTTCCTCCCACCAATCCTCCCCTCCCAGCTCGCCGTAGGGGAGATAATCCCGCGTGTATAGCTGAAAGAGGAAAGCACCGAGGCCCCACAAGTTTAGCTTAGCTTCAGGGACAAGTTCAGACTTCTCATAAAAGGAGGCCAGAGCACTAGGTTCTAGCGTTGGTCCCACCAAACCGCTTAGTAAGTTTTTCTCCTCTCCAAAGGGAGCAGCGCTGCAGAAATTTCCCAACAGGAAAGAGCCATCTTCACGCAGGAAGAAGGAACTCCACCTAAGCTGCGTATGGCCAACTCCTGAAAGCTCAACTTTCAGCACTATCTGCAACAAACGATGGGCGATATAATCCCGCATGCCTCTCTCCAGCCCCCCTGTTGCAGTTGCCACACTAAAAATGTCCCCCACAACCTTTTCCATCACTGATGCACTATTAACTATCTTGAAATCCTCAGCCGAATGAATACTATCCAAACCTACAATTTCCCCAGTGTAGTACGGGACTGCTATGCCCTTTTGCGAGGGCGCCAACTTGGCTGGAATGTCGCCGCACACTTGCAGAATTGTCTCCCGCTCCTGCTCAGCCGCCAGCTTCACTTCTTGCTCAGCCGAATCCTCGTCGAAGCCCTCCAAATCGCTATTAATCACGATGGGGATACTAACGGAAAACTCCTCTTTGGTCTCAACGTCTTCCGCATTCACCAGCAAATTCCAGCGGTAATAACCCAATATCCTGGTAACGAGTAGCTCCTGTTGAGGCAAAGGCCCCTCTGTAGTGCCCCTGCTCAGTGGTTTCAAATTCTGTAAGGAAATTGTCATTCCAACCAAGGAGTCGCTCGAGCCGTTCGAAAGAGCCCGAGCAAGCGCACGCTGGTGAGGCTCAGCTTCGTCATTTTCGAGACCATCGGGGACCTCAGAGGCCAACGCAGCTAGTAACTTCTTGCCCTTTTCAAGGGACGGAGGAAGCACTTGTTCGAAGTCTTCAAGTGAGCCTAGTCCCCAATCATCATGCTCTGGCCCTTTCTTCCCTAGGGTATCTCTGGTGCGCCTCGGTACGGCACGAGAACGCAGGCCTCTATGAACAGCAACGAGAAACACTAGACCCGCAACCAATAAAATCCAAATCGGCATGCGAACTTGTTTTCGCAGTAAACTTCCGGCAGCTTCTCGCACATTCAGCATATAGGCGACTTCACCATTGTTGAGATCGGGATCGGCCGAAACCGTCGTGTCAACGATACCTTCATTACCCTCCTCCATATTTGGCAGCATAGGACTCCGTGAAGAATAAATAAGCAAATTTCACAGAAGAAGGAATATGAGGCGTACTGAGGAGAGATCATATATGTACTTCTGGTGGGGGGCTGGAGCATTCAACCCAAGTGTAGAGAACAGCTCTGGCCAACTCTGACACTAGGGGGGTTTGCTGTCAATGACGAATAAGTGCGCAAGCTATACTCAAATTCTTATTCTACGATTCTCGCCATAAAACTCTAATGCAATTAACAAGCAAAATTACGTTCGAGTTCCTAATATTGTTCGGAAAGAAAACCCAGAATAATAGAACTCATGCCCGACCCACAGCGATGGCTTGGAACAAGGTCAGCGGCAGCCACGCCCCAAACCCGAGAGGGGTGCCGGCTTGAGAGCACTCTGATTCCATTATGCTGTTTTTCTATATAATAGTGTCATAATTCCTTATATAATGCACAGTATTAATTTCTATCCATGATATTAGGCCTCTGGAGGCCACGCCTGAGCTCCATTGTAGTGCCTGTGCACTACACCAAGCCGCTTTGCTACGGATGAGCTGTAACGACCATAGCCGCTTTATGCCGTATCTACTCTGTTTCACACTATTTTATGGCCAGAGAACCAGTGGATTAATAGGCTCTACATATTAATCCACTGGTTTTCTGCCAACAATACAGTGTTAGTGTAGAACAGTTGATGTTTACTGCTTGGAAATCCCTTCCAGCCGCACACAGCACAAGACTTTGTAATCAGTGTAGCACCCACCGTATGGGAGTTATTGTTGTAAAGTGTGTCCGAAGTGGGCACACGAACTACTACACTCTTCCCTTTGACTATTGATATGTAATCGGAAGCTCTTAGCAAGTACCTACAGTGTTTTTGTCCTCTACGGCCAAGGAGGCGTTATTGTGCTTGTTTATGGGGCTGTTTTGCACCTGAATTGCATTAAGATCCGTTGTAACCCGTGGCCGGATGCCTGATCTTTCACAGCTGTAGGCGCTTGAGGTGCTGATATTAGTATGTCTGCAGCATGGGGAAGGAGGCCAGCAGATCTAAGGAACCCCTTGCTTAAGTATGCTGACTTCATTACGGCACTCTTCCCATAAGATCGATAACCCCGCGTTACATAGATGTCTTTCATAACAGCTTGTGCAGAAGCATGTTGTAACTGATGGTAAGCTGCCTCTTCTCCTGCAAGAGAGAAGAGGCGGCCTCCTATAAGTAGGCGCCTGATTGGCTGAGCTGAGGACGCCTGCAGACTGGGGAAGGAGGTCAGTTGCATATGAACAACTGTGATCAGTATTCTGGTCCCGTTTCACCTCGCAACAGTCCTCAGCTAAGATCCATGACCCGCGCTACACTTGGCACCACTGCCTGGTTCACGGTGTGAAGGTGTGCACAACGAACCTGTAGCCCGTCTGCCCGTATGTAGACCAACGTACTGCCGAAGGTGCTTATTCGCAAATTCCTTGTCCAATATCACCCTTGTCTAGTCTGCAATTGCGCGCGAATTTCCTGACCTCATCGACCCCCTGTCTGTCATCCAACAAAACATATTCTTATAGCAAACCCAATTGATGAAGAATGCTTCATCCTTTGGCGGCCATCAGGATATGAAGCCTGCCTGGATCCGGTGACAGCGAAGGAGCTTCGTGACTCATTTACAGTCGTTAGAGTCTTAGTTTTTTCTCCAAAAGACATCGGAAGAACTACAGTTGCTATTTGCATCTACGTTGCCACAAGAACATATACACGGTGGCTATATGTAAGAAGGGGCACTGCTGCATTGCTTTCGCATTGCACGTCTGGCAGGTGGTGTGATGTAGGTTCAATGTTCCGTCGGCAGCGAATAAGGCTCTGGCGGTTCTGAGAAGCCTAAGAAGGGGAAGCTGTAGGTGGAGCATTACATCGAGAAACATCAGTCGTTGGTGGACAGAGGGCCAGCGGTGGACTCGAAACTTCTGTATCAAAGGTTCATAGCAGGGCTGTCCGCTGGAAGAATGCAATTGTTAGCCGGCGAGGTGGGGAGGAGGGAACTAAGTGTAGATGTTGAGTTCGCTGAAATGAAAGAACACTTAAGCCTAAACAGAAGGGAATGCCAATGCCACGTTTAGTGCTCGAGCAGCAAAGAAGGTGGCAGCGACCCAGATATTGAGACTAGGAATTTTGAGGTTTCGAGCGCATGGCTCAGTCCGAGAGTGCGCAGTTGTGAAATCCGCGGGCAAAAGGTTTGGATAACCTACCGTTCCTGTACTTTTTGCGAAAAACCAGACTACATAATTAAAGAATGAAGAAATATGAAGGAAGCGAGGGAGATGGGGGATAATTTATTGAGAAGCGCCGCCAGGTGAACAAAGAAATCGAATAGAGACACATCAGCAACTTCACACAACGCTCAAAGCAGCAATGGGCCAAACGACTCTCCAAAAACACCCTCAGACCCTCCGCACGTTTCCTCTTTTGCGCATCCAAACTCTAATACGTTACAGCCGTTGGAAAAACAGGTGTCAGTCTACTCCCCACCTGCTTCGAGACGCGCAGTCAAGTAGAGCCTTGGTAAAGGGCAAGACTCAACTGGCCAGCTACAAGGGCACCTCCCACCAATTGTTGTTGGTTGACACGAAAGTGCACCCCATGGGCGGACATCCTTCGAGTTGTACCAAGTGTGCTGTCGTTTGTCGTAGTCATGCTCCACTGAGGGTTGTTACGTGCAAATGGCTGGATATGGAGATCTAATGATACCTAGTCAGTATCCTATACTTCTTGCCTGTGACCTTTTGCGCAGGTTGCATGAAGCTGATTTGGAGAAGGGCAAGCAAATGGTCTCACATAGTTACATCCGTGCCTCTAACAAACCCATGCATAATACTGAACAAAGTATGAATTTTGTATGCATGGAATGACTTGTAGGGGAGTGAAGCTGGGTCGAAGAAACGGAGTAGGTGATCTCCCCAAAAAGGCACACCATGCAGGTTTGGGGTTGATGGTTTAACGAGTAGGGTGTGGGGTTCATCCAGCGGAAGGCTACTGGGTCAGGAGATCGATAATGACACTTATGTTCTTGTGTTCATGGATGCGCTGCCGCATCTTGCTGAGAGCTAGCTATCCACGGCACAAGAGAAATGCCTGACTGACCTCCACTGTGCGGAGGTTTTAACTCCGGTTGGACTTACCTTCCATTAGATTAGTTTATTCCTGCGTTGGCTGCGTTTACACTTGGTCATGCCAAGTTGGTATATGCAAGGGTGGAATTGCGCCTCTCAGGAGATCAAGTAATGCGACTGCGGCGCAAAGCCCGCAGGAGTCCACTGTTGATTGCAGCAACTAACTC